AGCTAAATCGTACATGCAGCTGACTAACGAAACAGTCGCTATGCTTAAGCTGTTCACAGACGCCTTGGCGGAATCATTTACTATGCCAGAGATCGTTCAACGACTGGCTGACATGTTAGATTACAACTTAGATGCTATGGTTGGCCCCAAGAGCGCCAATCTTCGAGTTGATAATTTGGCAGAGTACGGCTTCAATCCGCGGGCGCTTTTAAGCGAGATTATCGATGTATATCTAAATCTCATGGACAAGGAGAACTTTATTATAGCTGTTGCCCGGGATGGCCGATCATACAAGCCATCAAATTTTGAAAAGGCGGCTGAAATTCTTCGTAAATGGGCTCTTAAACCACAGGAGGACCTTGCAAAGTGGGAACGGCTTCAGGTTAAGTTTAAGGCTGCTAAGGAGGCTGATGAGCAGGCCGAAGAAGATCTTGGAGAGATTCCGGATGAGTTCCTAGGTTTGTCAAATCGCCATGTTGTTCCTACGTTGTGTGCAAACATCTGGCTAATGCGCGCCATCTCTTCTTCACAACAGATCCATTGATTTACACTCTCATGGAAGATCCGGTCATTCTTCCAAACTCTCGAGTCTCGATCGACCGTTCAACAATTCGATCCCATCTCCTCAGCGATCCGAACGATCCATTCAATCGCGCCCCTTTGAAGATCGAAGATGTTATTCCCGGTAAATAATTACAAAACTCTCTGCTACAATCGCCATTTTAGCATTTTCCTAAGTTACTGACTTTTTCTTTCTTGGAATTGTAGACACGGAATTGAAAGCCAAGATCGAAGCTTTCAAAGCTGAGAGAAAGGCTGCAAAGTCGGCAGCGGTCGCCTCTGCTGTTGCAGACCACATGGACACGACTGAGGGGTGATCAGAGTCTCTCATCGTCAGTATTGGTTCCCTTTTCGTTTGTGGTAAACTTGCCTCCAAGCCGTTTTAACTATTAATGTTAATACCCTTGGCTTCGGGAGCTCGTCTTGTTCACAACGCCAAAGGCCTTCATCTCTGGAAAGCACCAATGTCATGACCTAAAGGTTAGAAATGTGGATGCGCCATAGAGGATTTGCAGTGGATTGGTGTTGTTTGGCATCCCGTTTGGGAAAATTATTTCTGTATTTCTCTCCTGCTATAGGATGGAATGAGGAGTTTAAATTTACCTCATTAATAGCTTTATCTGTAGAGATTTGGTATTGGATGTGCCTGCCAGGTAGTTTATTCCTATTGGGTTTAGGTAGAAGGCATTCTCTCTCGTCTCCTCTTTTCTTTATATGATTTCTCTCTGTGTGTATCACCTATATATAACTGGAGTTGAATGCATAAACGTCAGGACGTGGAGAGCATGTGATTTAAAATTGTTTATTATATATTGACACCAATCAATCAATTTCTAGAGCTCTCTAGTGCCAGCAAGCAACTGCATTGAGAATCATCAAAGGGTTGTTTCACTACCTCAACAGGCTGTGCATGAGCCTACGAGAGTCATAGTTTCTCATGCCCATCATAGGTTCACCTTCACTGAGTAACTACGGTTTGATTGATTCAACACTACGAAACCCTTCTTATTAAATAACCCCGCGGCGCTTAGCCACGTAAGCTGAGAGATATTATGATCTCGAATCTGCTGCATTTATTTTGTTTTCTCTTGTCTATCGAAATAACGAGATTTTTATCTATTTATATATAGTTATTTTTGGTTGAGAGATTCTTGTTGTGTGTGCTCCTCAAGTCTCATAGATCACCTGCCCACACCTCAAGTTGCTGAAAGCTTGTTCCGTCAATTGAGGCATCCTTAACCCAGCCGACCACAAGAATGGAGGACAGCAGCACGCCGTTGATTCTTCCCCTCACTGAACGTGCCTTAAGCCACGCAGCCCATGTACTCAGAAAGTGCTCATCCATTGTGAGTAGTGGGGTTTCGAGCAGTAGGTGGGCTCAATCCAAAAACCATCCGCATCATAATGGAGCTTCATTCGTACATTTGCATATGTTCCTACTCGATGATGTTTTTCTAGTTGGGTTTTATACTATGGATTTTGAAAGTGCATCGGCTAATGCTTTGAGAAGCCAGCGATCCCAAAACGACTTCTACCGCCGCGCACACGCCGAGGAAGCCACGGTAGGTTTCTATTGCCATTATCCCCTCCTGCTCGAAAATTTGCTAACTGGAAATGCAGATGAGGGTTCGCTTCCGCCTGTTTTCAAGGTTTGGGTGGATGATGCGATGGAGAACTTGCTTGATCAAGAAGATACGGACAGGAACTTGCAGATTACCGTGCTTGACAATGGGCCCAAGGTGAGAAGATATAACCTCTTGAGGAATAGAATTCTAAATCCAAACTAGGTCGTCTTTCTGGGGACTTTGCTCTCTGACGGCGGAAAGACACGGGAAATTCGGGGGACGTATCTTCTTGCAAACCTCCTTGAGGAACTTCACCTGACCAAGGGGAAACGCGCATCAAAGCTGATTCACTTTGCCGATGTCTCCGAAGACCCAGTGTCTCGTATAAACCGTAAGATCAAGGAACAATACTGGAACAATTTGACCAGACGGCTGGATGAGTCGATGATCGAGGCTGCCGCGCCAGATCCCAAGGACTGGAATGAGAACCAACGACCACGGATTTACGTTCCATACGGCGAAGAGAGACTTTATAATTATTACTGCAAAGTTTCGGAGAGTAAACCCCAATTGAATCTTCAAGTTCAATATCTCCCTCATGGGGAAGTTACAGGTGAATTTGTCCATTCCCTCCGGGACCGGCCTGGCTTGCTTGCGCTTGAAATGGACTATTCGGACCCGGAGAAACCGAGAGGACTGCAGTTTGTTGTCCCCGGTGGTCGGTTTAACGAATGCTATTATTGGGACAGTTATTTTTCGTGCCTCGGTCTCCTAGAAGCGGGAAGGATTGACCTAGCGAAAGACATTCTCAGGAACTTTATATTCGAAGTGAAGAATTACGGTAAAATTCCGAATGCAAATAGATCTTACTACCTCTGCAGATCGCAACCTCCGTTCCTTACAGATCTCGCGGTGCGAATTTTCCAAGCTCTCGACAACAAAGATGAGGCAGCTGAGATTTTGAAGGCCGGAATTCTAGCTGCGATCAAAGAGTACTTCACTGTTTGGATGTCTGAGCCGCGGTACGACTCTACCACAGGTCTCTCTCGGTTTAGACCCCCTGGTGCAGGTATTCCCTTAGAAGTCGAAGAGGGGCATTTTGATGCGGTCCTTTACAAATATGCCGAAAAGCACGGCTGCACAATCCCTGAGTTTATCAACAAATATAACGCTGGAAACTGGAATGAACCTGAACTTGATCAATACTTTATGCATGATAGAGGGGTAAGAGAATCAGGACATGACACATCGTGAGTCTTTTTTATGTTTCTATCACTAACTTCGCTCCACATTATCTGCACACTAACCCCATCTACCTAGGTACCGATTCGACCAAGGCTGTGCAGACCTCGCCACTGTGGACCTGAACTGTCTTCTATACAAGTATGAAACTGACCTAGCCTGGGCGATCGAAACTGTCTTCAACGATAATCTTCCCGTCCCAGCCGAATGGCAGGTACCAGGCATGAATGGTCAGATCGAGACATCTTCATCCTGGTTTCAACGTGCCCAAAAACGTCGGGAGCGTACAAACGAATACCTCTGGAATCCAGAACAAGGCATGTACTTCGACTTCAACACAAGAACCCACCAGCCCACCACGTATGAATATGTAACAACCCTCTACCCGCTTTGGTGCGGCATTGCCAGTCCTGAACAAGCTGAATCTCTCGTTACCAAAGCACTACCCAAATTTGAATGCGTCGGCGGCTTGAGTACAAGTACTGAGAAGTCGCGGGGCCCAGTTAGCATGCCTCACCGGCCTCCGAAGCAATGGGATTTTCCCTTCGGATGGGCGCCGCATCAGATACTGGCCTGGGATGGACTGAAGCGATATGGTTACACTCATGAGATGGAGAGGTTGGCGTATCGCTGGCTGCAGCTCATGGTCAGGGTTGCAGTAAATTACCATGGAGCTATTGTGGAGAAGTATGATGTGACGCAGCTAGATAACCCGACCCAGGTAAATGCTGAGTATGGGAATCAGGGACTAGATTTTAAATATGCGAATGTTGAAGGGTAGGCTTTTCCTTATCTTGGTTCTTGCTGTTATTTATTGTTTAAGTTGCTGATATAGTTTTTCACTACTGCTTGTATCATGCTAATGCTGAGCTTTTATAATGTTACAGGTTCGGTTGGAGCAATGCCAGCTTCTCTTATGGGCTGTCACTCATCCAGCACAAAAAAATTATGGTGAAAGCGCTGGGCCTTTGTGTCCCGTACGATGATTTGCGGATGGAGACCGTCCATCGTTGACAGACACACATATGCACACTGAGAGTGGTTGAAATCATAATCATTTCTGAGTGAAATATACCTCGGGAAATACACCTGATGTTTTTGACGGAAAATCTCAATGGATGTATCTTGTTGCTGTTATGCAACACGCGACCAATACAAACCCTATTATGAGACGAATGACAGAAACCGGTACTCTTGTATGGGGATTTTGGGAACATCACCTCGCCTTTAAAATTTGCGCTTCTATCTTGGAATGATTATTTTATTCGGTTATTTTGTGGCTTTATATCTGTTTTGCTCCTTTGATTACCATCTCGTTTTCATGCTTTCTCCCATACGTATAAATTGAAGCGCTATATACCCAAATATTAATGACCCTATGACTCAACGAATCTAGAGGTTGGATCTATGATGGCATGGAACTTTTTATGGCGTGAATATGGAGGAGAAATTCAATATAGGACATATCTGCGTAAAATAAAAGGAAGCCATGTGCCGAGAACAAATTCCGGAACATAAAAAAAATCATCAAAGTGCAAATGTTAACGGTAAAATTCCGATAGTCCTTAAAAATCCAAAAGCTAACTTAAATGGTAGCTAAACGTAACCAAGTTGAATCGGAGGTTAGATACCTTAGTTTTGGGTAACAAGATGGTCTTGAAGCACTTCAGAAGGAGATGATGACGTTGTGAGATCTTTGCAGACCACCATTCGACACCTATCCTTAAATGGTTCGAGCAGATTCACTAAGCCATCTTTCTGCGATTCGCCCAAAACAAGGGTGTTTTCTACATCGGTATCATCCCCTTCGCCCCCGCTCCCGGTATCAGCAAGCAGCTGTTCCAGCTGCTGTTGGGGGTCCGAAAGGTAAGCTAACTGCCAAGGGTGGATAGCCATAGAGTCATAAGCGCTGAGTTCAAAACGAAGCCTGGCAGGCTGAGTTTTCGAAAATCGATCTCCGGCAAGGTGCCAGTCAGCGATGGATTGGAGGAATCGTCTAGCGTCAAGGGCTGAGTGTGATCGGGGTGAATTTGAAGATGGTGGAATTGGAAACGAGGAATTCCCGTGATCTGCGTTTTTGTTCTCTGGTCCACCCGCACCTCCGTTGAACTCTGCCAAGAGTAGAGCTATGGTTAACTGGAGTTTTTGATTCAAGTCGGTAGTATTTCTCTCGTTCCCCGTCTTCTTACTTCCTTCCTCTCCAATAACTAGAACTTGTTGTCTTGCTCTCTTTCTTGTATCCCCGTCGGTTGTTGCTGCTGTGGCAATTGGTCCAGTTTGTCGTGCGATATTAAAACTCATTCCACCAGGTACTCGCTCCGTCACCCACGTCCCACCAACTCTGGACGAGAGCTTGCCATTCACCAGCATCCTGAACTGTCGATACAATCGCTCCCCTGGTTCTCCCTCAGTCACATATACGTGAGACCAGTTCCGATCACAGAGGGCTAAAACTGATAGATCGACAATGCATGACGGTATGGACCGCACGGGACGAATGAGAGTGTCATAGTTGAAGGCCTGGTCGTAGCCTATTAAAATAACTCGAATATCCACATTATTGATGTTGGTTTTGTCTGGTAGGGTATCTAGTTTTTGCTGCTCGTTACATATTGAGGAGATGAGAGTGTATGTGTTGACTAAAAGCTCTTGCACGCTGTAAAGAGTTGATTCTTCACATCCGGAGAAAGTGCGCTGGTTTTGCCCTATGTTATATTCTAGATATGGAAGTGCTATGTCGATGGATGAGTTTGTGGAAGAGTTGGCTGAGAGGCGTTTGAGCTTTTTCACCGCGGCCTTGATGGGGGGACGGTAGGCAGCGTTGAGGGCGGCGGGGGAAGAAGGCTGCGGAGGGGGGGGAAGTAAGAGAAGGGCGAATGCCCGAGGAGCATTATTGACCATAATTACCACCCTGAGCTTCAAAATTGGGCCCTATGCATAACCAAATGGTAGGCATTTACAAAAGAACGAGAAGAGGAAATAAAAGGGGAATAAAAAATGGTCTTTAGACAAGCCGCAGCGCGGGGCTTGCGGCGTCATGAGTTGGGTTTAGCCAGTCATGTTGCTGCAGCAAGGAGGGAGGGGTAGGGGATGTTGCTTTGTTCCTTGTTGGTGCCTGGACTGCCTGGACTTCGGGGCAGCTTTAGGCGTTCTTGGGGGCCTGCCTCGCCTAACAAGGGCCTGATTTTTGGGGTTGAACCCATTCCGTGCTAAAAAGTCCACCGCCCCTCCTGGTGGCGCTCTCCAACTCCGCGAAGGGCAGAATGTGTATCAACACGTTCTAACCGACCTGGTATCTCACTACGGCAAAGCCACTAACTATCTTGACGCATCAAACTGTCAAGAGTGTTGGGGTAGAGATTTACCTCTTCAAATAAAAATTCAGATATCACCATGTTGTTCTTGATGACCGTGATGACGTTCCATTCTTGTGTGCCGTTCCTCGTCAGAACACACTTCAAAGATTTCAAAGACATGTTTTGGTTGTGATAGGGAGTGCGAGGGTGCCCTCCCTAGAGCTTGGCCTAGCAACCCATTTTAGAGCCCCTTTCTGTGGGTGGCACTGCTTTTGCAACCTTGCTCATCACCTCTAAAATGAAGTCAGCGGTTATATCTCTATAAATATCAATATTTCACACACGAGCTTTTCCTACTGTGAATAAACACTATTTATCATCTGAACATCGTTTTTCTTTCTTGCTTCTAAGTTATTTTGTCACAATGACTATTGTCTCCTGCAATCCATCTGTTGAAAAGGGGTTGGGATGCTAAATGATGATAATAAACAAAGTCTTATAGCTCACAAGGTTCAGGGTTTGAGAAGTTTATGACTGTTGCTTAAAAGTTACAAAGTATAGATTTACTATTTAAAGTATTTATATTTGATCTGATCTTCCTATGAAAAAAACTCTATCTAATAGATTTATATAGCTATTAAAGCTTTTAGAAGAAGAGTATTAACTTGAAGAATCTAACAATAAATATGCTTGGATGCTTTCACATTAAAATTTTAAATTTATATTTAATCGGAGTTAAAACTTTCTCATAAAAGTTTAATTTTAATAGATTTATTATTATTTTTTTCTTTATAATTTAAAGCATCAAATAAACTATATATATTGTAACTAATTACATTAGAAAAGGCAACCAATAACTAACGTTATTAGCAGATAGCTGATTGGGGTGGCATCGTAAACCACAGAGGATTATGCGAGGCGAAATCTGATACATACATACCATTTGTGGGACATGCCTTGGACTGCCTCAGTTGTTGTGCTGTGGCTAAAAGGCGACTTTCAGTGTGCGTGTCGCCTGCAGACCTTCCAAGGTTCCACCTTCATGCATGCTAATAGTTACTGGAAGCAAAAGGAGACTCTTGAAGGATGAGTTGCGACTGTAACGGGGAGGCCTCCCATGGATGATATGTCTGTTATGCTATTGTTAGCATCAAGTCGGGAAGCCTTGTCAATAATAATAAATAATAATAATAATAATAATAATAATAATAATAATAATAATAATAGTATCATTCAGTCCACAACTTCGTGCTCCCGAGGCTCTATATTATTATTCCATCTTCCATCAACACGAACCTTTTGCATTAGCTTGTCACTAGGGCGCTCACTTTTGTTAGTTTCTGTTTCTCCCCAGCCAGTTTCAACATGAACACCCGTCAATCCCCGTTATTTGAGGCTGTGAATCAGTCAGGCTGAATCTTGAAGGGCGCTTTAACATGCGGCGCTGGTAGCTGGTGTAGTTCCAGGGGGCTGGAGAGCCCATTCTGTTTAGAGTTCTCTGAGTTGTTTTATTCCTCTTTTGATCTTCACGGACGCATTGGAGGAAGACAGAACTTCCTCTGAAAATGTTTGCAAAGCATGAACCTTTGCGTATCCTTGATGTTTTAATTTTCTCGTGAATCCTGAAGGTCGGGTTTACAGCTGAAGAGATTCCTTGCAAGATGGCTTCTATCGATGTGGTCGAGATAACGGATGCGACGATTAACACTGTCATAATCCATGAAAAATCATCGTCCGTTGTTCTATCCAAATCTTCCAGGTTTTTTTTTTTTTTTTTTTTTTCCCGTCAGCGATTCCGATGTCGCTGACACTACATATAGTGACAATGGAGAAAAAGTCACTATACGAACAGATGCGGTGCTGCATAAGTTTGACCGTACAAGGGCTGCCCATGCTGCAACAGTGGAAATTGTACCCAAGGCACGAGACAAACGACATGCTGCAACCCTCAGCTCTATCCGAAAACTTCACGAGGAACGAAGTAGCAATGGGATGAAACACCTTCTTTTCTCTGCATTTTTCAACGGATATTCGAATCTCCCTTCTGACCAAAACCTTCACAACTTGGCTTTGTGTCAGTTTCCTCCCCGGGCTCTGCTCAAGGCTCAAGTGTGCGATTTCTATCCAAATCATGCAGAACTACAGGAAATTCTTCTTGGGGATATTGAAGTCCGTACGTGTCTAACGTTCTATTTCGTTGCAAAAAAAGAATTCGATGTGGATGTATGGGAAAGTTTGCTGACTTTCCCAAGAGTGGCAGAATAAGCCGGAGGGTGCTCAGGTCCGGTGGATGTAAGACAAATTTGATATTTCCCAATTTGCTCAATAGCCATCACATAGTTAACGGTGAAATAGACATGTCCCAGTTGGCAGAGGAATTTATCATTCTGTGAGTGGGATATTTCGTCCCTGTCGACTGCTTTGCTGGACACACGTGCTGAAATCAAACCGCTTTTATCTGCTATAGTCAATTGAAGACCTATTTCGACATGCAAATAGCCAGGAACCTCGTCCATTTGAAAATGCTGGCCATGTTGGCTTTGCCTATGTTGAGCTCGATGCCTTGAGTTTTCGGCATCGGATGGAAATCGAGGACCTTCGTGACACATACTGCATCCTCTCAAAAATGGAGCATTTGTCTGGATCAGTATTAGAGGCTGACGGTGATATCTCAACTTCAGAAGCCTCCAAGTCACGAAATCGACCTGATCCGCTAGACTGGGAGTGTCTTCGGGGTGATAGAAATGCAAGTCTGCGGGGTGATTTAGAATGGCGAGCAGATCATCTTAACACCGACCTCACATTCTGGGAACTGGTTGCATCCGACATACCCTGGCAAATCTCAGATGGGCTTCCAATATGCGCGAGCGGGCCCCTAGGTCGAATCAAGCCACTCATGAACAGCCGTGATTTTCGAATCCTTTCAAGCCATCCATCATTTCTTGACGCCCAGCTCGTCCGAAATGAGTTCCGGTTTTTCCATAGACGTGATGGTTCGCTCTTTATCTTTCCCCATTGAAATGATAGAGCTTTGCATAGGCTGATAATTTTAACCAGGATTTCTCTTGACAATGTCTGCTACAAAAGGCATCAATTACCTCGACGCTCGACTACAAGAATATCTCCGACAGTCTCCTGACGATATTCTACTAAATCCAGGGGCTTCGGCTGTGGGACAAACACTGAAGGAGTTTGCGCATACTGGGACAAGCACGTGGGAAAAGCCAACTGCTGAATGGCTGGTAGTTCACCTCGCCACTGAAATCGGTACATGTCCACATAATGACACCCTTGGCCATAATCAGATTTCGATCGTGGAAGCATACCAAAACATTCTTCGTGACCTTGTTCGTAGTAGCGAATCTCGCTCTGTAAACCCCTATTCGTGCATGCTGACAGGAAATTTCCAGAAACTGCGAACCTATGAACCCTGGAGGCGTGATGAGACCGTGCGTCTGACGAGGACATTCTTGCAGTGCATGGAGGAGATCAGGTTTCTGGCCAAGATGTTGGAGTCGAGACAAGACTTGTTTACCCGCCTGCGTAAAGATGTTGAAATTCACGATACAGAGGACCGAGAAAATGACGCCCCGCATAACCCTGACGGCGAGTCTAGTATACACAGGGTTGATTGGGCGCTGGGCAAAATCCGCCAGCAACGGGACGATATTGGAAATATTTCCGATGAAATCCAAAATTCCATGAATGATGTAAACCAAAACCGTTTCTAACACCTAACCCTCTTATTTAACACTCCTACTTCACCCCATTGGCTAACCTCTCCACCCCCACCAAGCTCCTTCACCTCCGCACCATCGAACAAAATGAACTTACTATCGTTCGCGACAGCCAACAACGCGCAATCATGCTCTTTACCGCTGTAACTGTAATCTTCCTCCCATTATCCTTCTGCACCTCCTACTTCGGCATGAACTTGCAAGGCATCTCAAACACCTCGCGCTCCGAACAGTACTTCTGGTACGTTTGTGGAACTGCGGGGTTCTTGGTTGTCAGCATTATTTCTGTGTATGCATTTTGGCATCCAGTCAAGGATTACCTGGCGGCCATGCGAGAACACCGGAAGGCGAGACGCGTAATGAAGGCTGAGAGGATAAAGAGACCGAAGAGGAGGATTTCTAGTGAGCCTGTGTAGGATTGGAAGGAAGATGGTAACATGTGTGTACATATATATATATGTAGCTTTGTAGACTTTTGGTCTGCATGTTGGGTGACGCCTCTCTAGAGTACCTGAACCTTTCATTTTCTTGGATAAGTGCAATCATATATATCCCTTTAGCTTCTTTGCATCCGCAGATTTTGACAGCACCTCCTTACTATGGCTGTAATATTTCCGCTAATTATAATGAAAAAAAGGGGAAGGGGGTTGGATCCTCGGATGAAGTCGAAAATTAGCATACAAATACGTAAACGTGAGAAAACTAGTCAGTCACTTGGAGAGCACATCCTTAGAATAAGATTTTATTATTTTGTTTTACGTTTAACTTTTGTTGATATTCTCGCGAGGACACTCAGTTCCAGCCTTGGCGAAGTTGGGAAGAATTAAAGTTCGTTGGACCGTCCCGAACCTTAATTTACGGGGCTCTTATCGGCCCGAGGTGGGTCCGTTGGCCAATTAAAGTTAAGGTTGATCTGCAGTCTACGGATTAAGCTACTTAGGGAACTGTTCACCAATATGTACGGGTTAACATATATTCAGAGATATATATTTTAACTAATATTGGGGGAGAGAGAAAGAAGAAGCGAAAAGTGTTCAAATCTCAGAAAGCCTGAAACGCTTCATTCTCGAGATTCTAGAGAATTTTACTAGAATCCACGACGATAGGTAAGGTAAAAAAGGGCAAAAAGTGGTTTGTGCTTTTAATCATAATTTTTATCATTTCTGGGGAACAATGTCCACGCTATCACTAGATATGTAAAAAATCATTCTTCTCTATTGTTACTGATTCCGAATGGAAGTCCAGAGGGGATAATCAAACAAAAAGGTCAATTTCATATTATATGTAAGTTCCATTGAACATTAGATTTCAGGCTTCAATTCATCTCCCAAAAGTGCCAATATTTTCTACCTTTGAAATAGTTAAGATACAGCTCCTGACAGAGAAAAATACAAGGCTAATTTTGATGATATAAAATCACAGTTGAAACAAGATGGCAAAGAGGTTGAAAAGTAAAAGGATAAACGAATTTAAGTTTCGGAAATGTGTTGTCCCTCTTGCTTGCTTCTTTGAAATTTTTCTACCGCCCATTTCAACTCCTCGCTCAACCTGACAAATTTTGATACATCATGTTCTAGATTCCAGCTCACTCCGGGTATTCGTGGTATTCTCCAAAGCACCAAACTCCTAATGTGCAATATGATCGCTGATGTGGCAGTGCAAAAACGGAAAGTGGGTATATGTAAATGAAAGGAGGGATGTGGGCGTTTTATGAGGGTATATGGGAACGGAATATATGAAAATGCAACGATTTGCCAATGACAAGATGGTATGATTGAGAGTTGTATAAAAGCAATAAATGAAAGGAAAGGAATGCAAACGACAATAAAAGCAAGTTATATGTACAGTGCAATGCCACAGAAGCGCGGCTGTTCCCATTCATGGAATATTCCGGTTGCCTGAATTACGACTTCCAAGGCTTGAGGGTAAAGTCAGGTTTCCATCTCTAAAACAATCGCATCGTAGATAAAAATGGGAGCACCGGATGCACTCACACCCCATCTTCTGGAGAATAGATTAAGGGCGCCCAAACTCTCCAATGCAACAGTCCAATATGTGCCAGGCGTTTTCCAAGGCATTGTATATCGGGGATCTGAGGCAACGACATGTGGTCGTATGATCGCCCAAGGTTCTGCGAGTCGGCCACACCAAGTGCTGTCATTGACCAGTATTGTTCTGCAAACTCAATCGTAATACTCTGCAGTTCTTGCTGGATACAGTCGCGAATGTCCCAAAACTGAGCATCCTTGAACCACAGGAGTGAACGAAGCATGCTTGATGCAAAGTCAATGGTATTTTCGTCTGGATATGTCGCCCCGCAGTGTCTATCTTGCATTATATGCGCAACTCGTGCAATTTCTAGAGCGATGTTGAGTATGTTGCCTTGGAACCGATCTATCGCGCAATTTCCTGGAGGATGGGTTTCAACTGATTGGTAGTCGCCATATTTGAGGACTGATAGTATGCGAGATTGCAGAGAGATATACGTTGAAGTGCAGAAGGAAATCTCTCCATATATCCTTCTCACCGCTGCGTTAAACACCTGGTAACATACTTGAAGTAAAACGAGCGTCTCAAAATTATCCTGAATATTGCATAATCTATCGATATCGAATTGGAAGGTTTTGGGAAACCATTTTGGAGAGCCGAACGAGCACAGAATACTAAATAAGCCTTCGAATAAGACCTTAGCGGATTCGAAATTATTGAGAACAATTTGTGGATTGTTCTGGTACCGTTCTAGGCGTCGATATCCAAGATACCAGTCCCTTGCATCTTGGGCTTCTCTGAAAGTCTTGGGCGATTTTTTCATGCTGAAGTGGAAGTATTTCGTCAGATACTCAATTGAATCTTGTATCAGAAGTACCCTGAAGGAGCGTATCTGATGATTTGCCACATCCTATATTTCCATAGGGTTAGCCTTTTTAGGTTTTAGTGTAGAAAGTGATCTACCCGCTTACCAGCTTCATTGATTCGAGAATCGCGAACAGCTGTTTTAGACCTTCCGCGATTTCGTTCATATCTTGCAATTGACAACCCGTTTGAATATGTTTGACCATTTCATCGGCCATATGGTCTCTCATGGGTGCACAATGGGTTTTCAACAAAGTCGCAAGCCATTCAGCAAGTTCAACCAAATTTAAGACTCCTTTTTCAATCTGCTTCATAAGAAACGAAATGTCCAAATTTTCCTTTACGCATTGGCAATCTCGTTCGGGAACCAAAGTCAATAATATTTCCCGCAAGATATCAAGCATTTTTGGTAGTCTTGCTTGAAAAACCTGGTGGATTGGAGGTGAAGAGTCGAGGTCGAGAGAGAAGTTGATGTTGTGGCTGGTGCAAAAGGCATATATCGAAATTTCGATGGCGATTGCTCGCCAATACTCATCTGCCACCTTCAGCTTTGCCGGGCCACCCACTGGTCGAAAATGAAGATCGTTATCAAAATTAACATCCATTCGAAGCTGGGTGTTTTTGATAATGGACTCAAGGCTGAGTTCGCCGAGCGAACGTGCTGTTACGGGTGGAAACTGCCTGGCGCGACGGAGCAGTGATGCTTCCTCAGGGAGGAGCACCATATGGGCTGGAATAAACATGATTTTGTCGTACGTTCCAGTAGTTAGTGAGTGTGATGATGGATGGTGTTCATCACTAGTGGGTGATGGTACTCTGGGGAAGCTCTCATTCATAAGAGTGGGTGAATGATTTCCGCGTGGAGACTGCGAATCTTGATGGAATCCTCCTGGATTCTTCTTGGGACTACCATTTGAATCGTTCACGATGTAGTATGATTTGTTGGACGCATCTTCACCTTCCCGGCGGCCTCTCCTCTTTTCGTTCTGCAAACCCGTCTCCATGTGGGAGAAGATGCCAAGGACGAGCTCTTTCTAGAAGAATGTGGATGGAATTCGATCCTGGCCCTTGGAAACACAATTTTCTTTGATGATTGCCAATTTTGATGAACTTGATAAGTTTCTTTGGCTGTATAAAAATCTCTGGATTCCTATGGGGATTATAGCATATCTATTGCCCAAGGAATTAGTAAATCAGGTTCATGGAAGTCTTGTTGAGATATTTTAAGAAATATGAGGGTTTTAAAAGGCAACAATAGACCTTGTTGTGGAATGAAGGCGTTTACGTACAGAACAGCCCTAAATTGTGTTGGAAAGTTGGGTGGACGTGCGATCTGTGGTTTGTGGCGTGTGCAGGTCCTGTCAAAAAAAAAACAAAAATAGCAAAAGAGAGAAACTAGCAAACAAAAGCAATCACAAAATCAATTGAGCATATATTGGAGGGATTATGTCAAGAAGAAATTTCTGTGTGTGATTTGGAGAGCTTTTTGTGTGCCAACAAATATGTATTTTAAAGATTGTCTGAAGCTCGCGATCTGGTTATAGAGCCGAGTTTAACAAAAAATGAAAACGTCCGTCGAGAATTGCAACTCTGTTTTCAGTTTGCTTGGACATAAAGTGAGGCTGCCAGCCGCGCTGAAACCTTGCCTACTAGTAATTGTGACTACTGGGGATCATCCAATCTGCTGACAATTCGAATGGATATTCACCAAGTCCCAATTCCATTCTCCATTATTTAGGCCAGCGAGACATGATGCACGAGGTATATCTTGATGCTGTGGCTCGCCCATATTGGTGGTAATCCGGCAAACACATGCTGGAATTGGCATGTTTCCATCACCACAATATCATGGATGTCCTTTTTGTGGAGCAAGAACTCGGCGAGATTCCCATTCATTTCATATCTGTCAAATTTAATAAGTTGTGGGCACTGCAGAAATGCTGGGAGGGGTTGTGTCGTGATCAAGGAATCCAGCATTGGACATTCCAGTGATATGGACACATGAAATGGAAGATGATGTAGATGTGCTGGTACCCGTCAGCAGAGCGCGAAGATCAAATCGATATATTCATTTGAGCTGATGGTCGGGACCTGTGGCTTGTTGCAGGCGGCGGTCAAGAATGTTGCTCTGCATAAATTGTTCTGTCAGCACAATGATTGATCGTCAAAGATGTCGACCTGCCCTGCGCTAAAGCTTGTCATCCAATTCCTTGGTTTCGTTTGTATTCTCGAGCATGGGGGTATTGGTTGAGGCGAGATTCAAGATCTTGAATTCCGTGTAGGCCGACCACATTCAAATTCTTTGTTCACCTCTTCTTTTCATGCCAATGGTGAATGGGCTCAGTAATCATGTTGCCCAGGTCAATTCCGATGCAGCCTGTCACAGAATCAACTTTCAGCTCTTCGCCATCCCAAGTCCAGTGGGAAGGTATTTCCAAGACACGCGCTTCGTATTAGCGACATGGTGAACTTGATCCTCTCTTAGGTGTCTATCGTTGTCCACGGGCTAGTAAATAGGCAGCCAAGTATAACAACAGGGCATTACCCTCTCCTCAGCTTGAAAACGGCTAGATTCGAGGGTAGATTCCATGCGTTTAATCTTTAACCCCATAAGATGGGCTTGGGCATAGCTCACCTGGAAAAGCCGGTAATTACTACGCTTGGCTGTCCTTGTCTTGTCGAGGAACGCGAGATGCAAGTCGTTGCGCAATGATGCAAAAATCCATTCCGGCATTTTAGTTGCCGATTTCAGCTAAACATGACCGGGCGGTCACTGATTGATTGGCTTTCGTGCGATTGAAGTAGAGACTGGACGTTCCCAGCGAAAGATCTAGCATTTCATCTTTTTCTTTATTTCTTTATTATTTATTTATTTTTTCCACCATTTCTTTCGTCTCTCATTGGGTAACGAAAACAAACGCCCTCGTATGTCTGTCACAGGGGACAAAGAACAGGAGTCAGGTAATGACCTGGGGAGCATCCGCTACCTGATATAATCCTAAAGAGACCCCGGCATTTGGTTGATCTACTTATTATCTATTTGATTTCTTGTCGGGACTGTTCTCTCTTTTGCCAATAATGCTATTGCAAGAATAAGGGTTCCATGTCACAACAAGTATTTCTGCAGCAAAGGAAGAAAAGGAGAGTGGCGCATATAATAGTGGGTTGAAGGAGACATGTCGTCCACTAATGGCGTGGGTTGGTTCTGGGATATGCAGGAATCCTCAAATCGGAACGGGAGAAAGGTTCGCCTCACTTTTTATTCGTTTTTATTCTTCTCCTGTATTTTTCGCAAGAAAATCATCCTGCTCCGGTCCTTTGCTGCGCAAGATTCGGGACTTGCTATGCACACGAATAAGAACACCCCCATAGCGCCCCAACAACAAAGTAGCATATTCACAGAGGGGCCGCCCCCCCCCTTTTCCACCAAAAACAAAATAACTTGAAATAGTTAACCCTTACCAGGGCAGAAAAGCAAACTGCTCCCCTCATCGAGGTAAACCAGGGCTTGGAGCTAGGACTGAACTATATATTCACGTGACTCTGCTTCCCCTTAAATCTGCGTTGTCGCATCCAACTTCCCGCTCGCCTTGAACATGATGGCGATGGGCCTGCTGCGTGTGCCTGGATGCTTCTGACGGCCTTTGATAGATCCTTTATCATCGCAGACTGTGAAATTCTATAACGCATTAATATCTTTTTCAGCTGGATGCAGCTACTCGATCGAGGGCCTGCAGTGGCCTGCCGTGCCACTCGGTGAAGGCTGCTGAAGATGTTCTGACAGATTGGTCTGACTTTTGTGTTTGTTTTGACAAGTTTTACGGAGTGTGTTTTAGCCTTGATGGTTCCAAACTTCACCTCAGGCTGTTCTTAAATTTTGAAGGGATCATCACACTCATCTAGTTACCGAGAACGCACCTCATGGACGCGTTTAAATATGATCACGAAGTCAACGGCTTTTAGTTGCGGATTGCCCCGTTTGAGGAGGTTGAAAATGATTTAATCTAATGCATCCATCCATCCTACCATATGATTTGGAATCTTGTATCACTAAGTTGCTGCCCGTTTCCAGCGTCTTTCGCATGGATGATGTCATTCCGAATTGCCAGGTGACAACCCACCCGCCGGAGAAAGCCATTCAAAACGTCGGGCGATCCTGTAACGATTGCATGCCTCATCGAACTTCCTCCATGTGGAACAATATCATGTCGCCCACCCACTGATTCTAGACAGCGAGGCCGCTCACAATTCAGCCATACAGAGTAATGAAGCTTCTCCCCAGATTTACTGCATGGAAAATTGCCATGATATGCTGTGCATAATATCTGTAAGGGGGCAGCAAGTTATATGTCTCTAAACCTGGCTTAGAACAAGAAGAAAATGTCCGCTGAAGGAGTTAAATTGTCAAGTTCCATTGTTTATTAAAGGTCCTGTAGAGTCCCTCAAGAAATGGACAGTTCCGGGCTACCAATGGCACCAAGGGAATTTCACCCATTCCGTTCCTGGCCATTCAAGCACGGCTACGATCGTGGATTATTCTCCCAAATGCCCTTGCGCGCGTATCGCAAAACCTCTGGCGGCTAGAAAATTCGTGTCAGCTGCTACAGCGAGTGCTGTTGTTTTATTACCAAATCGCCAAAGGACGACGTTACCATCCGCTTCCTGTACAACGTTAATGCAGCATTCCCGGACTTTTGAAGATTAAACCATTGCCTACTGTTCTCTGCTCCCAGCGACTAGTTTTCGAACGAACTCATTTTCAATGTCAATTGCTCAGTTCTTCTATTGCTCTGTTTGCTCTGTGTATGTATGTACCCCACGCCGTTTTTCTTGGATGTAGTAATGGATTACCTATCCCCCCCCCCCCCCCCCCCCCCCCTCCGGACTTCGTTTTTATCTGCTAGTCGGCGATTTCTTCTAGGAAGATAGATCATCCGACATGCCTTGATATTCCTCTGTTTATGCAATCCGGTAACGCAATGCATCATTGTGGGAATGCCATTTCCACGTTGCATCCCGAGTTCCCCTGGGGACCTGGGTTGGCAACGTTGACTTTATTCATTGCTGCAAGCGGGTAGGTCGATCTCATACCTGGAGAGATTTCGAAGATATGACTTTCTAATTTTCTAGAGATAGTTATTGGAGACGAGTTGCTTTCTACAATCATGTCCTCATGTTCCCAATTAATGCTCCCCGAAGTGGGACAAAAACCGGTTCTCTCAATTCATGGTGACTGACTTTTCGAGACCTATATGCGGCGACAGAGTGTTCTGAATGCGTAACATATCCTATTATTATATATATTCGGAGATTTCCAAGATCCGTTTCAATAGTTATGAGCAGTATTTCCAGGATCCGAGAGCTTCGATAGATTTGATCTCCACTCCCGAATCTCCTTCAAAAACCCTGCACTGGTCGCAAATTTTGTGTCTGCAACCTTAGTTGGCTTCTATCCCTCTGCCTTGGAGCAGAGGGATTGTAAGCTCTTCTAATTCCTGAAGATCAAGCGCGATGAACTGGGAAATGTCTATTTTCGTTGCTTTCGTTTAACTACCGAGGCGGCTCAAAATTTACGTGTCCCCAGAACCCGCAACCATACAAGCAGCGATATATCTCAATATAGAATTGATTGAATCTCTTCGAGGGCCCCGGTACTCCCTCTTAGTTATGCTGGCTCAATCCTGATACCGGGAATCGAAATGAGGAGGAGAACGATCTGTTTTCTGGCTTGAAGCTGAAAACCACAATTATGACGAAAACCTCATCGGTGAGTTATTGCACTTGGACAAGCTAATACTATTTAAAGGTGACCCAGAGTGCTCCTCTCTCATCGGTGCGCTAGCAGAAAGAGGCCAGGTTGTGTTTACTGGGAATAATTCTGTACCTACTCCAAACCTCTATTCGTGGACGAAGTTGGTAAATGTGTGTATATTGATCAGCCCGTTGATATTGGATTTTCCACTTCGAGCAGCACCAAACCAATTTCTACAAATGAACAGGTCATATCAAACCTTTATGCGTGGCTAACGGCCTCCTACCGCGAATTTCCCCACCACTGAAAATTTCAACACGAGCCAGCCCTAAAATTATGACCTTAGTTACCAAGAAAAGAAAAGGGGGGGGGAAAAGAAAAGGGGGGGGGAAAAAAAGAAAAGAAAAGAAAAAAGAAAAAAGAAAAAGAAAAAGAAAAAGAATGGAAAAAAGTGTAAAAGATGAGTAAAACACAAACATTTCAAGGGTTTGCAGTCTTATTTTTTCGATGAAAAAATTTCAATGAAATAGAAATAAAGCAAGATACATCTAGATAGATTAGCTCTATCCAGCCGTGACGCGTCGACTGGTAAACAAGCAACCAAAATATATTGACTACTTTGGTGCAGCCAGGTTGATAAAAGCCTGAACTGCAATTTTAAGGGTGAAGAAGAAATCGAAACAGAGATGCAGTCGCTCTAGTACAGTAGCACTAATGAGGTGGATGGCAACGGCGCCAGAGACCAGGAACAAATGTATATATATTAGCAAGCTCAATAGCATGGCATATATTAAGAAACTGACCCCATATACACCCCTAGCCAATTGTTCCCAGTTGCGTTTGTTCCCTTTTACGTTTTCCGTGTGCAATAATATTGAAAGAAATTTAAAAGAGAGAAAACCAGCAAAAAAATTATTTGCCGTCATCCCGTTCCCCTGCCTTTCCCGGTATTTTAGCCCTTCCCGAAATCACAATTCGAAGCAGAAAAGTCAAGGCAAGAAATAAATAACTCCAATAGAAGAATTTCTCCGACGCAATGCAAATGTTCGCAAGAAATGGCAACAAACAGGCATAGATGACAAAAAGGAGTGAATAAAAAGACAACAACGAACTGTATTTTCTTCGATTGAACAATCAGGATATTATTTTGAGATTTGACAATATTACCCGAATAGAAACAGTAGTAAAAATGAAAGCATTTAAGACATAGCCGTTGAGTGAAAATGTCATTGAAAATGTTAATGGAGGAAACATAGGAATCATAAAGGATAGTTCGTCCGTATAATAACTCAAACATGAGAAGAATATATACAGTTATACAGCGACAACTGTTAGATGAGGCAAATAGAAGGAATGGCTGAGTTTACATTATCGACGGAAGAACATGGGAGCTGGATTGGCCGTATTGAGCAGAGAGTCTGCCCTCTGAAACACATCACCCGCGAAGAATCGGTAACTATACGCACTCGCAGGTGTCGATGGTACCGTTGCTTGAGCTGCGGGACCCAGAGCGGCACTTAACGGCGTTGCAGGCAGTGGCACGGACTGTGGCGATGATAATGTTGTCGCACTTAACGTTGATGCCGAAGGATTGGTATAGTGCTGGATATGGTGGGTATGAATGTTGGGTGGGTAGATTCCCGTCGGATTGGAAGTGTTTAATTCAGCTAGGTAGGACCAAGGAGAGGCATCAATTAGACGACCGGCTTCCCTGCTTGCTCTTTGAACAGGTCGAAGCGTAACGACGATTTCTGGGTTGAGCAGGCCGAAGTTTTTCGCCTCCCGCATATCCGTTACCAGCTCAATGAAAGACTGGATGAAGGTTTTGCAAAGTTGCCAAAACTCACGTTGATTACGTATTGCGCCACCGGGCTCTTTCAATTTCGTATTTGAAAATCTGTGGTGCAGGGCTTCCGAAACATCATTGCAGATACGACAGCGATATATTAGCTTGCCCCAAAGGAGTCGAAGTGCTTCTGGGGCACCGTTATCTTGAGCTGATTTAAGAAATATCGCAAATTGTTGAGCAACGCCAGGGAGAGCATGCAGCGCGGAGGAATATGCAGATTGAAGCTGGCTGAAGATCTTTTCAAATATTCGTTCCTCTTCCACTTCGTCTAAGCCTGTTAACGGGTTAATGCGACTAGGAACAGAAGTGTTGACTATGCCAAACGTTTCACCGGATCGCGGAGTGTTAGCCAAGGACGATGGACCTGAAGTTAAAAGGGTATTAGATCTGCTACTTGATCGACTTCGGTCACCAAAATTCAGCGGCGACAACGGGACAGATGGGAGAGTGTAGGGTGGATTGAACGAGGCCCGGGTAGGGTTAGGGTTTAGCGACTGATTACTCGTAGTATTTGAATTGGTAGCAGCGTTCGGGTGCACAATAGTTGTATTACTGCGTAATCTTCTTGTGGGTGAAGGTCGCTCTTTGGTAGGCGTTGCAATAGACTCGCCTATATCACCAGATGGCCCTTCTCTTAGCATTTCCGGGAAGGGCGAAACGTCTTTTCCGGAAGAGTTGGGTTGCTGAGAGTGAACGTCGATTCCAAGGTGAGAGCAAGCATTCCGAAGTTCAGTCAAGCTCCCAAATATCATAAGAAGTATTGAGCGGAGGTACCTAGGATCGCTAAGTGAAACAGCCCTGCTGACATTGAGTCGAAGTTGAGTTGCAACATGTATATATGCCATGATGCAAGTTTCACACTCGCGTTTTACCATTTCGCAAGCTCTCCTTGCCCCTTCAGCATCCTGTAAGTCAATTTGCTCTTTTCTTTCTAGAGCGTCATTCAACTGCTCCAAATGAGTCGAGGCGTTGTAAAAAACAATCTCGAGGCTATTTCTTCTCGCATCATCACCATTGAGAACATTGATCAACAACGAAACATGGGGGTGAATTTGGTGAAGTGCATACAGGATGCCCTTTGCAACCTCAATGATTGGCTCCTGTGTTCTCACTTTGACTTTGTGTTCTGGAAGGCTTGACATACGGTGAACAAAGCCATCCTTTAACTTTCTTCTTTCTCTCGGACTGCCTGGACTGGATGAACTGCTACCTCCAGCTACCAGGCCACCAGATTTGGATTTCAAAATGGACCCATGACTCAAACCGCGTAAATGACTACTACGATATGGTCGTACTTCGTCGAGCGTTCCCAAGTCAGTATTCTTGCGACCAATTAATCCAATACGCTTATTTCGAGATGCGCCAGGGCCTTGGATCACCCCTTCGCTATTACTTCGATACCGCTCACTAGCGCCCGAGAACGGTATAAATCCTGAGCGTTGGTTTGCGCCGTTGTGGAAATTACCATTCTGGACGGATGCAATTCGGTGATGGGACCGCGTCGGAATTGGAGGAGGTCTGGAGAATGAAGGAGACCTGGAAGAGTGCGCCGATTCAGAACCATTTGTCCTTGGGATCACTGGGAATCTGTTCCCACGTTTTAAAGGTTTCGGAGTATCCATCAGGGTTTCACTGTATGACTTGTTAGGAGTGTGGGTTGCTCGCATACCTGAACAAGAGTCACGTACCTGCTCTCGCTTCCGGCGTCAAATTCGATGTGTGATACAGGCTGTCTATGTTTCAAAAATCTTTTTAATTCTGCTGTAATTGCAGTTTCTTTCTCATTGTCTGTCATCTCAAATGCAGAAACATCCGCTTCGTTGAGTTCCAGGACCCGTTTCAATGGGTACTTTAGAGAATTCCCGGAAACCTTCAAAACTTGAAGCTTGCTCATGTCTGCCAATTCTGTCGGTAGATCATCGAGGAGGTTCTGCATGATGGAAAGAACTCGCAGTGACGTGAGGTTCCGAATTTCTTCAGGAATTTTAGGAATTTTATTGCGGCTAAGATCCAAGATTTCGAGAAAAGTCAAACTTAATACCTATAAAAAATGAGCTTTGGTATTTCCAGAGGGTGAGGGTTTAATGAACTTACACCCTTAGGAAACTGCGTAAAGTTATTCGCTCGAATATTGAGATAACGAAGGTGGGTACATTCTGAAAACCGGTATGGTATATGGTCAATGTGGTTATTGGACAGGGATAGCCTAGCGAAGATTAGCATAAATTTATACATAAAAAATATAGGTGCACATATCGACCACAAAGGGCGAAGCGGTCTGGACTAACCTCGCGACCTCATCTTTGATAATATCCGCCATAGATTCCGGAATCCACCCAATATTGGAATGACCCAGGTCAATCGTTAGCTTCGGTCTAACCACATCATCGACAGCCTCACTGCCCGCCAACGATCGTTTCGTTTCCTGCAAGCCATTTTCCACTGCTCGCTTTGTGAGCTCAAGTGTCTCCTCCTGGCTGAGTAGCTTTTTGTTGGGTTGGTGGCGGATCTCCCCACGGAGCGAGGGCTCAAGAGGAGCGGGATGTGTCGGGTGGTAGACCGACTCTTTCGTGCCCTCGTTTGTGTCACCACGATACAATTGAAGGGGCCGGACAGGATCGTCAGTACGGGTCATGGCGCTCAGCACTACAAATCAGTTCCCGGAGGAAGAGGTAGACGTCTGAAAATGGTGGGTGAGCTGTGCAAATTGGCCTCCGTTGGCCACCGACTCCTTCGCAGCTAGGAATAAAACTTTACAAGCAGCATAATAAGGGAGTCAAATATTCGCAGCTCGACAACGTTAAGTTTGACATCGACGTCGCTTTGATTAATGTTTGGTTAATAGAGAGGTTGAAAGAAGAGAGTTAATAATAATACTCAGGCTCAGCAAAGAGATCTGCCAGACTTAATACCCCATTATCGGAGCCCTGTGACCAGTGGAGGGAGTTAAACAACTGGGGCGTTGGTGCCAGACGACCAAGGAACTCTTGGTCGCCAATGGACAGGACAAACGAGACGAGCGCCAATCTGAGACAGTCAAAGGTTTGGAGTAATAACCTAGTTCCGTGCAACGGGGTATCAAGTGCCCAACGGAACAATTGAAAACTAATCTTTCCTGAGACGCTGGTCTTTGGGTCAAGGTAAGTGGTTCATGAGTTGTCCCCAGAAGTCCCAGTAGTTGCCGTCGTTGGCTGTCGTTGTGTCGTACGTCGTTGATTTGATGGTTCCTCAATCGCGTGTTGGGATCAATTTGAATGCTGACTGATGTTAATTAGTACCAGCAAGTCACGGGACCGGCTTATCTAAGTTTCAATTGGTCTTGGCAAGAACAGAGTCTTTGTATGGCATCTCAAAGAAAATCTACTCCCTATATCTCCATGGATGGATGGATGGGTAGGTTTGAAAAGAAGACAGGTTTGTATTCAATGTTGTTCTTACGAGGACCGCTTGCTCGGGAAGACTTGTTTCAGCTTCGCAAGATGACCCGGAATGCCCATTCGGATGAGGAGTATCCATGGAAACCATTATGCTGAACAGAGTAAAGAGGGAGAAATGTTTCAAAAGACACCTCTTCAACTTAGAGATATTCCCTTTTGGATGATGGTTCACTGTCTAATTTAGGTGGAAAATCAATCCACGATCCAACGGGTCCACGCGTTAATTCAACATTGTTTTGTTTAGTACTGAACACCATGTAGCTCGCTCTCCATGGTGATAAACGAATGGTTAATTTAACGTGGATCCCGCTGAAGCTTCCGGCTCCGATCCCTCTGGTGGCATTACCACATCCTCCTCCTCTATCAACGGGGTTTCGTCGACGGATTCTCTGCTCTCTTCCGTAGGACCAGTAGAACCAGTGAAAGCTGCAAGACGCTGCTCCATAGCTTGAATTTCGCTCTCTGCCCACACCTTCCATTTTTCATATTCTTGGTTCTCCAGTTCCATTCCCACAGTATGCATATCTGGTCCGAAATATGCACCTGTTGCCAATGCCTCCTCTTGAGCAACCCGTCGTTCCACATCTTCCTGTAGTCGCAACTGGTAAAATTCGTGGCGCGCAATGTCATATGCAGCACCTTTAGTCATGTCGGGTACATTGTTGAGGAGATATAGCTGCCGTTGCACAACACTATTTAAAGAGAAAAGAAAAAGAAAAAAAAATAAAGAGGTCAGCCAATCGTGTTCTCCAATTTGCACTTTTTCTCAAGAAGGACATAGTATATAAAAAGGAAACGGCAATGGGAAATATATAACCTTTCTCCATCAAGTCTCTTTCCCGGTTGCTGGATCCTCTGCCAATTGTATCTTTGATGATCATTCCCGTCGTTCTCAAGAACCACTCGTGGTCTGGCAAGTTCCCATGGATGATCGCGGAAAAACTCTTTTCGTAGCTCGTCCTCTTCATAGCGTATTTCTTTGGGTTGAAAGATGCGACGCGGTTTCTTCGATGCGAGGTTTTGGCCAGTTGGCGTTGTGATTTCAATTTGCGGTTTCGATTCCCCCTGAACAGTTTTTACTCGTTGTTTGACGACAGGATGTGGCTGGGCTTGATTGCGAACAAGAATCGACGCAGGTGGGATATCCGCCATAACGTCGAGCCAGGGCTGTCGCGTCCCTGGCTTACCACATTGTTTAATGGCTAATGCTGTCCGTCTCACACGGAGAGCAGTCAGATTGTACCGTCCCATTGTGCAAATCAGTCCGAAGGGCTTCCCTCAGGATCTGGCGTGGAAAATATTTCTTTTGGAAAGGATTGCGCCGTCTCACTGTGACGTGCCTCATGAAGCGGACTACTACTTAGATCGGCGGTAGAGTGTTAGCCAATGAATGCACAAGAATGGGAAATGAAAATTCGAGTGGAGAGAAAGCAATTGGAAATAACTGACAAAAGCTATGTGCTGTATACTATTTCGGATTCCTAAATACTCCGTAGTGGCGATGATGATGATTGGACATTAAAAAACAGAAATTTGAAAAATGTACGAGACTTGGCGTTGTTCAAGCAATCTGGCCAATCAGGAGCTGCGAAACAACATCACCAGAAAATTTCCCCAACTCCAAGCGTTGAAAGCATCACCAAACAAACGGACAATCCCAATCACCAATCACTATAGAGATTAAATTGTGCCAATTCCTCTGAGACAATCTGTGGGCTTTCTATTTTCTTTGTTATCTATTCCTTTTGCTGCTCTGCCGTGATCTGAATCCTTGCGACTCGCGGAGGACGATCATACATTGTCCATGACATCGTTGAATTACGAAATGCGCAGTTAAATTGTACCCCAATGGCACGATGTCAGACCTCTCATGTCATTCTTCAAGAGCTTGGAAAAGTCGAGAGGATTTTTGCTCTCCCGAGCAGGACTTTTCTACGTTCCCTCCCCTTATCCTCGTCCAATAGACCTAGACCTACTCTTATTGCCCTCGTCATATTTCCCCCGAACCATGCGACTCCAATCATACCTCACAAGCCGTACTCCGATTAGTAACCTATTTATAAGCTCTCTTGTTCTTGCAGGATTATGCAGAGAACATTCTCCATGGAAAAGAAGATTTTCAAGACTGTCGAGACACTCCTCTCACACCACCGCTATACAACCATCGCAAAATATACCAGAACAACACAAGGTTGCTCATGAGAGCAATCTAGTGGGACAAGCAGCGGAACCACATCATACAAAGCCCCTTATGCCAAAAGAACCAGGAAAAGGGGCTTCTATAAGGACCGATCACAAATTTCATACTTGCACCTTAACCCCAGATTTCGCCATAGACCACGCCTCATTTAAAAGAGCAGCCGCTTCCAAACTAGCCAATACAAAACACCTATTTAGACTTTATCTCGAGATCTTGGGCAAAGAGGAAGGATTAAAGTCGCTTCAGGTTGTTTTATCCAACCCAGCCAGAGAAATAAGTTTGCCCCAAAAGAAACCACCGGAACGATATCGCCCTGACGCTGTCCAAATCCATGGAGTTCAGCGGATAGTAGACTTATTGAACGATGAGAATAGCTCCAATCAACAAATCTTTAGAGCGTATAAAGACCTTCCATCGCCGGGTGTATCATATCTTTCTGCTCGAACCCGAAGACTCTTATTGCATCGCTTCGCGAGCCCGCCCCGGCGCTTGCGTATTCATGCGGAACGATATCTGAAACTACTTGATGATATGGCAGAAGCTTCATTTTACATATCGCCCTCGTTATGGACCGCTGCAATTCATCTGACAGGGAAATCCTATCCTTCGGTAAAGAAATGCGATCTCAAATCGTCACTTGGCATGTGGAGGCGTATGGAATACGAAGGCTTGGTACCTAGCTCAAGCATAGCATTCAATATATTATATGATATTGCTATCAAAGCCAGGCAGTGGAAAGTTGCCGACAAGGTTATAGAGGAGATGAAAGCCCGAGGACTGGAGCTCTCCCGTTTCGGGAGAGTGGCTCACATATTTTCTTTTGGACTACGCGGAGATGCCGAAGGTATTCGAAATACCTATCGTGAATTTATTCGATTGGGCGAAGTCGTTGATACTGTGGTTCTAAACTGTGTCATGGTTTCCCTACTTCGGTGCGGGCAGCAGCATGTTGCAGAGAAGATGTACGAGCGCATGAAGGACATGTACATTACGCTGAAAGAGCAGAACCCGGAACTCCTAGGTTCGAGTGTATACCCTTCACCATCCGACAACTATGCTGCTTATAGGAAGGCAACTAAAAGGCTTGGTCGTGTACTTGGGATGACAACTTTTCTGCATGATAAACTTCCAGAACATCACCGGGCGTTACAACGGGCAATGCCATTGACTCCCGATGCAAAAACCTTCTACATATTTTTGTGGCATCATGCAAACGTTACAGGCGACCTAGCACGCGTTATTGCCCTACTTGAGGACATGAAAGGAACGTTTTCTATTCCCCCACAAGGGATGATCTATATATTTTTGTTCCACGGCTTCGCTGCACATGGATGGAAAGCAGACACCGCGTGGACATTCAAGCGGCTTAAGGGGGTATGGAAACACTTTCTTCGAGCTCTCTATCATTCCAAAGCTGAACTTAGTGCCAAGCGAAGTGTCAAAAGTCGGAGGGAGAAATTCGTATGGGAAAATCCATTAACCGATAAACCATACTCATCTTCCAGTGAACCTGAAAGGGCTGAACAAGCAGGCGATGAAAGGGCAGAGTCCGAATCACACAGTAAGGAGAGGGCCAGTGAGAGCCAAGCTCATTCGTCGAACCCTTCGGATGGCAATGGATCCCCCAAAACCTTTGAAGAAACAGATGACGACTGGAGGTATGAGAACTCTGTATACTTGGGTCGAAAACTAATTGTTTCCTGCCTACGTGCACACGCTGCTTGTGGCGGACCCGAAGCTGTCCTTGACGTCTGGGTAAGGATCGAACGTCTTTGGAAGCTTGAGTTGCAGAAAAAGGAAGATATTCTGGCTGTTAGGGCGGTTCTTGAACAGCTTGTCCCCATCAATCTGAGAGCACGCAAATGATTTGCGCTCGCCGGGTTACTGTGTATGGTTTGTTATGTAAGAGTATTTTGGGTTTGGGTTTTATATTCTTCAACGATTGGTATACCAAAACATCCTGTTTTCATTCGCAATGCAGCGGTGTATAATAATCCAAGAATCTCCATTGTACAAAGTTGAGTTCATGGTTTTGTCATCTGCATGGTGGCATATACTCTTGAAAATAGTTAATCATCGAATCTACATCGATTAATATCAGTTTTATCCAAGTCTAGTTCGAATAAACTCCCAGTTGTCGAATCACGTGATATGGCGTTCTTTCGTTCCTCGTCGCGTCAGCCGAAACCTCCAACCATCTAATGTTAATGAGAGCAAAACGCCACCGCCATTACAGTAAAATAGCAATATAGAACATTTGGATATTACATAAAGCGAATATGTCACATTGAGTGGAATGGAAAGCAGAAATGCCCTTGCAAAAAGACAAACGACATCTCATCGACATCGACTTTACATTAAGACGCGTGTTTGGGAAGAAGACATTTCGGTATGAGCAACTTTTGAAAAGTCTATGTTGAGGAACTAACCTTTATATTTCATGTAGACCCCTCCAGCGGGAAGTTATTGAGGCAGCTATTGAGGGCCATGATGTGTTTCTTCAGGCTGCCACGTCGTTTGGGAAGAGCTTATGCTTTCAATTACCAGCCATTGTGGGGCATGGAGGTGAGCAGCACTAGAATCTCTCTTGTAAACTTACTGTTAGAAGCATGATGCTAACCCTATTCCTAACAACAGTCACAATTGTTGTTTCTCCTCTTCTTGCGTTGATGGTAGGTTGGAACAGGAAGAAATTTAATATTTCATAGTAATTAACATTACCTCCCGCATCAGGTGGATCAAGTCACTGCCTTAGAAGCTAATGGCATACCCGTCGCAACGATCAATTCAACAACTACGCTTACCAGAAGGCGGGAAATTGTAAAAGATCTCCTCTCGGGACACCCCACTTTACGCCTTTTATACGTTACCCCCGAATTCTGTCAGACGGATTCCTTCCGTCGAAATCTTCAAACAGTTCACCTACAAGGCGAACTTGCTCGGATCGCAATTGATGAGGCGCATTGTGTCAGTGAATGGGGCCATGATTTCCGTCCTGCTTATAAAGAGCTGTCGTGGTTCAGAAAAGAGCTACGCAGACCATTTGTTCCAATCACTGCTCTCACAGCAACAGCCACCGCCCGCGTCCGTTCAGATATAATATCTCTGCTAGGATTGGATCCTCTCACCTTGAGAAAATTCAGCACTGGATCAGCGCGACCAAATATCCATTACGAGGTCCGATATCTTTCAGATTGTTCTGTGGACCCTGCAGTTCCTGGCACAGATCAATTAAATGACCTCCTCTGTTGGCTGAGCTCGATTCATAATAGACGTGTTGCACGGCTAACTCCTCCCCAACAAGAAAATTCTGACGAACCTAGCATGACCATCTTACCTCCCCTTCCTCCTCTTATAGGAATTATCTATGTCCCATTAAGGGCTATCTGCACTGAACTTGCGAACAGCTTATCAGCCTCACCTCTCAACATCAAAGCAGTCGCTTATCATGCTGGGTTGTCTGCTTCTGAACGGTCCAGAATTCAGTCACTGTGGAGCTCGCCAAGCAAGCTCTCTGGATCAACCAAAGAAAAGTCAGGAGAAAAGCCCAAATCACCTGCCTTTTGCATCGTGGTAGCCACCAACGCTTTTGGGATGGGTATTGACAACCCGCATGTTCGCTTTGTCATACACTGGACTCCGCCCCGCAGTTTTGAAGGGTTTGTGCAAGAATCCGGTCGAGCAGGTCGGGACGGCCGTGCAGCTGTATCTCTGGTATACTATAGCTCTCAGGAGCGCGACCGTGTAATGGACCGCATGACCCGAGACCAGGATTGGCATTTCGAAGCAGATTTGCAGGGAAACAACCCCGCGAGTAAAAAGCGCAAGGCCACAACAGCAAATTTAGAAGCCAAGATACGCAACCAGGAAGCACTCCTAGAGAGTTTCAAGAGGATGGTGAAATATTGCGAAACAACAACCCGGTGCAGACATGATGTGATTCGCGAATTTTTTGGCGAGCGGGATCCGAATCTTGACGCACGAATGGGACAGCCTTCTCAAGTTTGTAAGGGCACTTCTATTTCATCAATGTGTGATTTTGCATGCGATT